GACTTGCTAGTCCTGTGTTCTGGGAGGAGCTTTTCAAACTAGTGTGCCTCTGACTCCCTGAAGAGTTTACTAACATGGAGGGTCTCATTTAGTAGGTCCAAATTAACATTCTTCGCTCCTAGCAAGCTCCCAGGTGCTGTCGCTGCTGCTCTGTGGACCACACTTTGAGTAGGAAGATTCTGGAGCCACATCTACCTGGCGCATGTGGCTAGTTCATGTGGCATATGCTGTGTGACTAGACCCCAGATTTCAAAGACTTCGTGTAAAAAAAAAGAACAAAATGTCTCACTTTTTATATGGTTACATGGTGCGATATTTCTATATATATTGGGTTAAATAAACTGTATTAAAATTCATTTCATTCGTTTCTTTTAATATTTTTAACATGACTACCAGAAACTAGGCGTGCACACATAGCCTGCCTGGTGTTCCTGTTGGCGAACTGCAACAAAAGGGGCGTTTGGGGTGTTCTTTTTTCAGATGACCCAGTTTCTCAATCCTCTTGTTACCATTCTGCCTTCTCTGGTAGCTCAAATCAGCATTCATCTGACTCTTTTCTCTCAATGTTTTCCTTTTCCTGCTCCCCTTACACTCCTGCACACACTGCTCTCCACTGTCACCACCACCATCCTGGGGCGCTCACCCAGCAGACGGCTCAGGAGCCAGCTATAGGCAGCACCCTAACCCTAAGCCCTGACATCCAAAGTGGGGTTCTGGGACCAATAGCAACAGCCTGATATTGGAGCTGGTTAGAAATGCAGAGTCTCAGGCTTCCCAGGCCTAATGAGCCAAGAGCCATTGAACAAGCTCCCCAGGGGATGCATCTGCGCAGGGAAAGTTTTAGTGGGAGCCTGGCTGGCAGAGCTGCCGCAGTCCTCTGGCCTAAAGCACGCATTTCAGTTAACCTGCACATCTGTTCCTTTGTGTGGTTGTGATGAAGTCACTGCAAGGTGGATCCCCCAGGAAATCTGGCTGGCTGACAGAAATTGGCACTCTACCTTTCAAAACAAAAAAACAACCGAATTTTAGACAAATGGCCTCCAAAAGGTGACTCTGGAGATTGCAATCCTGTGCCTTCCAGGGCAGGAGAGCCAGAGAAACAAGCCTCACCTCCCTGCCTCTGGTTTCGGTCTGTGGTGCTTTGCTCCACTCCGCTCCAGAGCTGACCGTGCCACCCTGCAGCTCGATGCCCTTCTTGGTTGGAGCTGACCGCGGAAGCAGAGGAGAGATGGCCGCTGGGTGGATGCAGGTTCCAAGCCCCGAAATCCAGCCCTCCGGGAGGTGGGGGCACAGCAGAGCATGAGAACCGCCTCTCCAGCCTGTCACCATCCTGGGCTGCGCCAGGCGGCCCCTGGCCCACACACGGCATGTAGACGTCCAGGGTACTGGGCAAGTGGACGCTCTTGGCTGTGAAGACCTCGTTCCTATTTTCTTTAACTTGACCGACTTGGAAGGGGCTCAGACAGGCAGAGTTTAGCCTAAACTGCAGTCAGCTGTTGCGGGCAGACCCGGCATCCGAGGCCAAGCAGGGCTGAGGGCAAGCGGCGAGGAGAGCCGGCCTGGACGCGGTTCGGAAGGGAGTCAGGGCGACCCTGTCCTGATGGCGCCCCCCCTCCCCCGCCCTTTTTCCTTTTGTAATGTCACCATGAGCTCTGTTTTGAGCAGCTTTCATTGTTCCCCAAAGACTTTGGGTTGCTCTGTGGGTATCACAAAAACTGAAATCCAATCCCGATTCTTCTCAGGGCTTCGGGGAAGTGGAACCATGGGTGTGTTTGTCATTTTTAGCAGCCATTGGCGTACAGCCAAAGCTTCAGGAGATACTAAAAGTACTTAGCACCGCCCGATTGGCTGCTGGAATTAGCTGTTACACAAAGCAGCCAGTAACGGAGCGCCGGGGACCTTCCTGAACTCCAGTTGGGTGGGAGAACATCCAGCGTGTGCGTGTCGGCTTGAACTGGGACGGAAGGCAGGATGCGGGGCTCAGCGGGCTGGCGACGGGGCCGCTGATAAAAGCGCTCTCTGGCCTTTGTCCGGGAGTTTCGCCTCGTCTCAGACGCTTCCTTCCTTTGTCACCGCTCTGCCCGTGCTGTCCCGCCAGGTCAGGTTGACTGACAAGCGGAAGAGCAGCCCAGAGAGGCGCTGGGCTCATGTCCCACGATCAGTCCAACCCGGGGGCGAGGCACCGCGAGACACAAAGGGATTCTGTTCTGCAGACTGAACGCAGAAAGAAGGAAAGGGGGATTTTGGACACAGACCTGGACTCCCTCCCTCCCTCCCTGGTCGGGGAGCGGACTCTGTTGTAGACGCCTCAGAGAAAGTGTGTGCACTGGTAGATTAGCTTTTCCTGCAGCTACTTCTGAAATCTTTCCACGCAATAAACAAAACCCATTTTGAAAGAACCCTTCCACTGGCACAATTGAAAAGAAATCCCTCCAAAGCCACACGCGCCTTACCAATGCCACCTGAATCGTCACCCAGCGGCCCCAACAGAACGTGCCAAAGGCCAGACTTTTCACAAAGACTGGAGCTTAGACTGTGACACCAGTCACATAAGTGAGAACAAGCTTTGGTGTAAGACTTGGAAAAGTATATTTCATTCTGTTTATTTTTCACAGAAATAGCAAGATGAAGTGCACTGTAAATCCAGGCCTCCCTGGGGGCCTACGGGTTGAGTCTCAGTGCTATCACCTCTAGGGCCTGAGTTCGATCCCGGCCAGGGACCTGACCCACAGGGCACAGCCGACCTCTCCTGTCTCCCCACTGTCTCTGGTGAATCCTCCACCCACCCCTCCCCGCACCTCTGGTCTGTGCCCCGGTTCTTCTACATGCAAAAAAAAAATAGTATCGTGAATCATTGTAAAGATGACCGTATCATCTCAGCATCAGCTAAACCAAGTAAGTACTATGATGCACACTTAAAATAACAGCACAATGCACATAATTTACAAGGCAGCCAAGCTAGTAGCACGTCTGGGTTACACTCCCTGAGCACTTACCTGGAGATCGGGGTGGGCCCGGGAGACATTCGCAGCCAAAATGACACCAAGTGAAAGGTAAATGACCTTCCAGCCAAGCTGGTGAAATACTTCGGTGGATGTTAAGTCACTTCTGACGTAGGAAGTTGCAAAGGTAGACTCCTTTTTGTGCCTGTGTTGGAGGCCAGTTGCCATGAGCGCGAATGGATAGGGTTTCAAATGGTAAAAGCAGCTCTTCAGAGCCTCCGAGGAAGCAGATGTCAAAAAGGTAGGTACATGTGTTCTCAGTAGCCACGAAATTCCTGTCAGGAGGCACTAAGCACATGGGTAGTTTCACCTGGGGGCAGGAGTGGTGCCCAACACCAGCCTTCTTCCTTCAGCAAGGTCCGCACAAGGCCTTTCCCGGACACTTTCTCTGATGTTTAAGCTCCTGTGGTTTGGATGGAGAAGGGCATAATCACCCATTTCCAGATCAGAAAACAGCCCAGGTTACAGCTCACCCCCATTCTCCCGTAGACCTTTGAGAAGCACTAACACCTTTCACATCCTCCTGCCCCCAGGAGAGCAAAGGCCAGCAGACGCCACCAAATCCTCCTGGCTGCCACCCTCTGCTCACTTCTCAGCTGTTTCAGTCACACCTGACAACTCGAGGGTAAAGTCTGGCTCAATACCACCTTCCCTCTGGCCTCTCCCCCCGTGGACTGTGAGCTCTGTGAAGACAGCCTTGCTCGCTCTTACCCCTCCGAGTGCTCCCCAGACTCTCACGGGGCATTTTGAACCTACAGGCACTTTCCTAGGAATCCTGGATTTGGTAGTTTCAACCATGAGGACCAGTTGGATCTCATTACTGGCAGAGCGTCTAAGGGAACACATGTTCCTATTCAAATCCATGAAACTGGAAACATTAAAAACAACAATCGTGACATTGATTGATAGTGATATTTACTGTGTCAGACTGTTGGAGCTGAGCTGGAAACTAGACTCTCATCCTGCCGTCTTTACATTTGGATTTCAAAGACTCCATTTGACTCGGCTCCTGATCCTTCCTGGATGTATTATTTAATATTTCTTTATCAAATTGCACCCCTGTTCTTTTGAATTTCACACTCCCAACCTCCCCTTCCTGAGAAAACAGCACCTCTGGGTGCTTTGAAGATATTTTTGGTCTATTAGAAGGAAACACTTGCTGGCAGAGCGTGTACCGCTGAGAACAGTAGAAGGTGCAAGGCCTGGGGAGCAGGGGGGGCATGTGGCCAAGTAACCTGCCTTCCTGATTTCCTGGCAGGTGGGAGGCGGTGGGGGTCAGCATTGAATGGGTTTCTCTGAAGTGGTCTCAGAACCTGAGGTGTGGTGTTGAGACCAGAGCTGCGCCTCTCCCTGAAAGGCTGTCTCTCTTGTCCAATGCAGGTGCTGACCAGGCTCAGCCACGGGCCAATGAGTTCCCAGAGTTTATTCCGCTTTCCAGCTTGCCTGGCCAGGCTGCACGCAGCGCCCTGGGGACAGCAGCTGTGGGAGAAGCCAGCCTGGCTCTCCCCAGGCCCAGCCCCTCCAGTGCAGCGGGCCGGCAAGAAGGACCACCCTGCTCTGCTGGCCCTGGACGAGGGGGATCTCGAAGAGCAGTTTGTCAAAGGACATGGTCCAGGGGGCCAAGCAACCAACAAAACCAGCAACTGCGTGGTGCTCAAGCACGTCCCCTCGGGCGTCGTCGTCAAGGTAGAGGGAAGAGCGCGGCGCTGCTCTAACGGGCTGCCAGGCCCAGGGTAGCTGTCACCCGGCGGGAACGGTGGCAGCTGGCAGTGAGTGGAAGCCAGTGCCCACGCCGGCTGGGCAGCAGGGCACCTGGGCCTGTCCTCCCCAGGGCAGAGCCTCCAAGGCTCCCAGCCTCCTCCCAGGATCCTGCTGCCACCCCAAGGCTGGCAGGCAGCACAGGCCTGGTGCAGCAGCTTGGCTGCAGAGGGCTCTGCGGCGCTGGGTAGGCTCCAAGTCCCTAAGCAGCAACGCTGGCTGGCTCAGCCCCAGGGACCCAACTGATTCACTTTAGAAAGGCCTCCGTGTCCTTCAGTCCCCTTTGGTAAACATCAGTGACACCTGCCCTTCTGCAGGAGGGGCGAGGTGGTGGAGGCAGAGCCTTCTCAGTCTCAGAAGAAAGATGCCGGGCACCACGGCCACAGGAGTCTGCCCTTCTCTGTATAAAGAACTAGGCTGGGGCCTCCCTGGTGGCGCAAGGGGTTGAGTCTCAGCACTATGAAGCTGTCTGCAGCCTCTGCAACACGAGTTCTATCCCCTATCCCCAGCCAGGGAGCTGACCCACATTGCTCCCCTCAGCACTGTGTTTCAGTAGATCCGCCTGTTCTGCTCCCCACTCTGTCTCTGGAGAATCCTCTCACCCCTGCACCTCTGGCCTGCACCGCAGCTCTTGTATGAATAAATAAATCTTTGATTAAAAAAAAGAACTAGGCTCTGGTCAGGCAGCAGCTTTCAGCAAACACAAGGCCTCTACGTGGTGACATGCTCCGTCTCTGGTGTTAGTAGTCACCCCCTGCCTTTCAGTGGAACTGCCAGAGGACATATGGGCAGCACCAGCTTTTGGGTACGGGGGAGAGGAGATGGCTGAGGCAGGCGTGTGTGCCAGTGATCCTGACAGTGACACCTCAGTGTCACAGGACTGTGGCCGGCACCGGCTTGAGCAGCTTGGCACACACTCTTGTCCTCACGAGCACAGCGAAAGCCACCTGGCACAGCAGAGCAGAGGCAGGAAGGGGCAATGGGACAGCCTCTGTCCTGTCACCACTGCGCTTCTGGACATGTGGCTTTGCCTCACAGGCCTGTTCCCTCTGTAAAGTGACCAGGCTGAATTGGATGATTTCTGAGGTTCTGTCCAGAACATCCTGTGGTCTTCACATTCGAAAATATTCTCCCTTTCAGTGCCATCAGACAAGATCTGTGGATCAGAACCGAAAGCTAGCTCGGAAAATCCTTCAAGAGAAAGTGGACGTCTTCTACAACGGGGAAGACAGCCCTGTTTACAGAGAAAAGCGAGAGGCAGAGAAGAAAAAGCAGGAAAAGAAAAAAAGAACAAAGGAGACCCTCGCAAAGAAGAAACTACTGAAAGAACAATGGGAATCATGTAAGAATGGCCACTGAGGAAGCCGCAGCCTGCCAGGCGCTGCAGGTCTGAGGTGACCAGTCCCGTCGCCAGCGTTACTGTCGAGCTTTGAAAGGACCGTTTCTGACAGATGTAAAAGTCATCCAGGCCTTCGCATGGTGGACTAACGTCGTCGAGATGCACACTTCAAGAACAAAGTCGTGGATAGGTTATTGCTGTAAAGGAAAGCGGCCATTGCTGGGGGAGGGCTGCCCTCGGGGTGCAGCCCGGGAGGGGCTTCAGGTACACTCACAAGGAGGCCGTCTTACTGTTTTTAACTACGTGCCCATGTGAGCTTTATCATCATCAAGCTGGTTCCACCGGCTTGGGAGTCTCACTTTATTTCTGTTCCTTTTCTCCATAATAAACTTTTTCTTTCTCTAAACAAAAAAAAGAGCACTAAAACTAGAACAACCTTTTAAAAAGTATTCATATCAAACATTAATCATGTTTGGTGGGGGGGTGGGGAGGGGAGCCCTTCCTGGTGGCGCAGCGGTTGAGCGCTGGGTTGCGAAGCTGCCCGCGGCCTCGGCCTCTGCGGCGCCGGTTCGATCCCCTGCTGCTCCCCGCCACCAGAGGAGGGTCCCACATGGCGCGCAGACCTCTCCTGCCGCCCGCTGCTCCCCTCAGCAGTGTCCTTCGGTCCTTCTGCCTGCTCTGCTCCCCGCTCTGGCTCTGGTGAATTCTCTCACCCTCCCGCGCTTCTGACTGTACCCAGTGCTTGTATAAACAAACATACATAATAAAAACATGCCTCTATTAAAAAAAAAATCATGTTTGGGGGCCACCCTGTCTGCTGGGCGTCCCCATGCAGCGGCCTGGCACCTCCATCAGCTTCAGGTCAGGTGAAGGGAACAAAAAACAAGATGGAGGACAATTCACAAGCTGTACCTTGGGATTTACCCTGTCAGCTAAACAGTCCGGTATGTTGAAAAATAAAGTATGTTGCCAACTAGCCTCTCTGATACGGAATATACGTGTCATTCCCTGTGAGTTGATTTACTAGTGGGCTTCTAAGAAATGAGGTTCTGGAAACCTGATTTGCTTATGAATTTGCTCAATACCATCACCCAACTGGGTCTGACCTTTACATTGTTTGGAGTTTTTCTAAGGCGTGATTAATGGCGCGGCTTGTTAGGACGCATCTGGAGCCCATTCCTAAAACAAGGAAAAAGCCCGGGAGTCGAAAGGCCCGGCAGGCTCAGGGCTCACTCCTGCAGCTGCGCCCAGCACTGTCAGCTGGCTGGCCCGGCTGGCACCTGTGTGGCGGACTAGGCCTCGCCACCTACCTGTGACACCGGCCAGCTCCCTCGCGGGTCTCAGTCTGCCCCTCAGCCAGGCGAATCGTCGTTGCATGGAATTAGTACCTGAGGAAGAGTCAAACCATAGCAAACCCCGCTGGAAGGCACCCTCAGAGTGCACCACGGGACCAGCACACCCAGCAACTCCCCAGCACCAGAGCAGGAGGCTCTCCCGGGAGCCCCAGGTGTAGCTGGTGGTGACGTCACATGACAGACTCCTGTGCCACCCAGGGCGATGCTCACAGGCTAAGTGCCCAGAAATGGGGTGACCCAACCACGGGGGCAACAGGCAGTCAGCAGTGAGCCCCCAATCTTCTTTTCCTTGTCCCAGCATCCACCTGCATCAGCCAGGGCACAAGTCCACCCCAGCGGCGGGTACGCACACGGGCAGGTCCACCCCAGGGGCGGGTACGCAGACGGGCAGGTACAACGCGGGCAGCGTCCCTGTCCTCGCCCAGCAGCTGTGCCCACCACAGCACCACACACGGGGTCTGGGTCTGGCAGGAAAACACCCCTTGACAATACTCCTCAACTCTTCTCTGAAACACCACTTAGGAGGTGAAGGAACCCACATCCTCATACGAATTGTTAATGAAAATAAGCTTTATTACATCAAGTAATAAATACATACAAAGATGCAAACGGTTTTAGTCGTTTTCTTCCAGATGTTTGGCCAACTTCCAGAAAGGCAGAGCTGGAACCTGTGTCCAGTCTCCGTGGGACGCCTCGGGGTCAGGCTTGGTAGCTTGGCAGTTGCTCTTTCTTCTGTATTTATAACTTGTGCGTTTTTTAAGTTGACTTCAAAGCACTAATTGTCATGCAAATGCTTAAGCAAAAAAGGAAGTTACATGAAGCAGAATCTACGCTGTATGACGAAGGAGGCGGCCCCTAAGGAAGGTGCTGTCGGTGGGCACTGAGCACCCTCGCCAGCTG